AGTGAGACTCTGTCTCAAAAAAAAAAAAAAAAAAAAGTTTGAGTAAGTTTTGTTGGTTTATAGAGATAGGTACAGTCTTTTCTGTCTTTGCAGTTTTCTGTGTCTAATTCCAAGAAGAGATCTTTTTTTCAAATGCCTCATTCTAACTCTTTTCAATCCTAATTTTGGAATCTTGCATTTCTCAGACAAAATTAATGGATTCAGTAATTTTGGGGGCCTTTGCCATTTTCTAAGCATTGTCCACTTAATGTGGAGGATAGAGAATTAACAGCCTTTTCACATAGAAAAGCAGAAGTGAGCCTGGGCAGCATAATGAGACCCCATCTCTACAAAAAACAGAAAAATAAACTGGGCGCAGTGATGCACACCTGCTACTCAGGAGGCTGAGGTGGGAGGATCACTTGAGCCCAGGAGTTTGAGTTTGCAGTGAGCTGTGATGACACCACTGCACTTCAGCTCAGGCAACAGAGTGCGACTCTGTCTCAAAAAGGGAAAGAAAAGCAGAAGTGGTTTAAGTGGTTAAAAGCATAGTTTTTAGAGTAGACTTTCCTGAGGTCCAGTCCCAACTGTGCTGCTTCCTGGTCGTGTGACTTTGAAGTGGCTTAATTCTTTGAGTTTTCTAAGATTCAGTGTTCTCATCTCTGAAAATGGATAATAATAATAAAAGGAGGAAATAGTACTAGTCTTGTGGGTTGAGGATTAAATGAAATAACACATATCAAATGCCTAGCTTATAGTGTGTGCACAATTAAATACTCTTATTTTGGTGGTGGTGGTGGGGAGAGAGGTACATAGTGACAGTTAGGTGGAAACCCAAGGAAAGAAGTGGTTTCAGTTGCTTCTTAAATGTTCATGTGTAAGTGAATCATCTGGGGGTCTCACAGATATTTAGGAAGTCTGGGAAGTCTGGGGCAGGGCCAAGAGTCTGCATTTCCATTATATTCCCCTATGGTGCCAGTTCTTCTGGTTACCTGACCACACTTGAAGTAGCAAGGTTCTAATTGGTGCAAGCAAAGTAGCTGCCAGGTAACTTCTCTTTTCCCCCGAGGCTTCACTTTTATTTCCTGCACTTGGGGTCCGTGAGATTCTCTTACATTTTTCAATGAATCTTCATTTTTCTTAGATGGTTTCAATGAGTTTTGTATTCCTTTTGATCATTTTGCCAGATGATACCTGACCAAGGAAGGCATGTTTTGGAAATGGAGAGTTTGAAGTGTAATGTGCTTGACAAATAGAGGGGAAAAAAGTGAGGTCTGTAATCAAAGGCATCTGGATTTCATTCTGTAGGCAGCAGGCCGTCCTGAAGTCTCTGAAGTTTCTGAGCAACCCATCATGATCTTAGCTGAGGATAAAAACATTAATGTAGTTGGTGTGTGTGGGTTAATTTGGGTGAAGAATCTGAAGGGCTTCTGGCAGCCAGAAGGGGAAGGGCAAAGGGTAGAGGGCATGAGGCCCGTGTCAGCAGAGTTAACTTTGTTTTTAAAAATGTCTGGAAGCCCACCCAGTGACTGCTGTTTAAATCACATTTGCTGGAATTGTGTCAAATGGCCATCCTCACTGCAAGAGAGGATGGACAGGGTAGTTTTTGCCCGGCATATTGTTACTTCAGAAAAAGGAGGATGTGCTAGGGAGAAAGGGAGAATGGATATTGACATCTGCCGCACCATAGGATTTGGTAAATAGAAGGTCACCAATGTGGAAAAATTAGCAAAGAATGTAAGTGGTTGATCCATATAAGAAGAAGTACAAATGTTAATCAATGTGAAAAATGTCCACCCTCAGTAGAAACCAGTGAAATACAGATTAAAACAAGGAGAGAGATTTCATCTATCATATTGAGAACAATTAAGTGTTGGTGAGAGTGCAGCAAAACAGGAATAGACTTTTGGAGGTGAATGTGAATTGGTAGTCTTTCCAGAAAGTACTTTAGCAAGACATATTAAGAACCTTTAAGAAAGTGTGTACTTGGTAACCTGGATATTCTCTTCAAGGACTGTATACTAATAAAGTAATCAGAGCTGTAGACAAAGATACATATGCCTAGAAGTTCATCATAATTTTATA